AAAAACCAAAAAAAAAAAAAAAGAATACCACCACAGGCTTCATACAGAGATCTTCCTGCCTCTGCCTCCCAAGTGCTGGGATTAAAGGTGTGCACCACAATATTATATAATAAATAAAATATTAACTAACACAAGTGGAAATTACTCCTTGATCGGGGACTGCAGAATGAATACTGGGTCAGCAAAAGCAGTATCTGATCACCCATCTCCATTGGAGATCTTGTACAATGTTAACTGAAGTCCCCAGAAAAAGAAAAAAAGAGCCACACCTGCATTAAACATTCCATAAGATGGACTGACTGACCAGAATTTCAACTGTGGAAAGTTGAAATAAACAGGCCCTGAGCCAAATGTCCTTACTATCTTAGCCCCCTAAACAACAATTTATTGCCTATCTCATTACTGTGTGTAACCTAATGTAAATCCTTTGGAGCTGTACAAACAGATCCTTAGCTTCTACTGCCCCAGACTGGACTGCGCAGGTAACCCTGAGACCCGTAGCAGACTTTACCGCTCTCCTTTAAGCTGTGAAGCAGACGGCTGGGTTGGGTTGGTTTTTGAGACAGGATTTCTCTGTGTAGTCCTGGCTGTCTGGAACTTGCTCTATAGACCAGGCTGGTCTCAAACTCATAGAGATCCTCCAACCTCTGCCTCCCAAGCACCGAGATTAAAGATATTCATTACCACCATCCAGCAAGCAAACGTTTGTCCCAGTGTATTTTAAAAATGCCTTGAGTGACTGGAGAGGTGGTTCAGCAGTTATGACCATTTCTCCTCTTGTAGAGGACCTGTGTTTGGTTCTCACAATCCATATTGGATACGTCACAACCATCTGTAAATCCATTTCTATGGAGATTTGGCTTCTGTGGCTACCTGAGCATGTGTAATACACATACATGCACTTAGGAAAACATACATAAAATAACATTAAAGACTACTGTGTGTAAGCCAGTTTTGGTGGTGTGTGCACATGGTGTGATCACAGCACATAGGAGGCAGATCCCAGCTTGAGTCCCGGACAAACAGGGCAACAAAGAACAACACTGTCTCGAAAACTCACTAATGTGGCCCTGGCTGACCTCAAACTCACAAAGGTCTTGCTGCCTCTGCCTCCTATGTGCTGGGCTTAAAGACGTTTGCCACCACCACCAGCTTATGACTGCTGGGGGGGGGGGGGCAAATGAATTCTGGCTCAAGCCTTTAATTCCAGCATTCAGGAGGCAGAAGCAGGTGGATCTCTATGAGTTACAAGCCAGCCAGAAACACACAATGAGACCTTGTCTAGAAAAAAAAGGGTGGGAGCTTGGATTTATGACTGTCTTTGTTCTATTACTATAAAAACTTTATGAAACTGATATCATGTTGAAATATGGAATTTTGAGTAATTTGAGTCAGTGTTCCCAGGCATGATCATGCCTATGTGGTTCCAGAATAAACTGTTTATTTGAGGCAAGATCTGTGTTTGTTTTGTTTTCTGGGAGGGGTGTTTGGGTTTTGTTTTTTTTGTTTTTTGTTTTTTGTTGTTGTTGTTGTTGTTTTTGCTGGGGGGCGGGGGTGGCAGTGCCCCAGCCATGTTCTCAGCACTGATATTTTATTTTGAAATGAATCTTTTTGTTTTGAGTGGTCCCAACCAAAGTGGTCAGCTTAAACTTTTTAGTAAACTATGTTATAAACAAATGTGCTATTATTTGCACTTCATTGTTTCATTTTTTTAAAACATGGAGCAAGTAAATTTCTCCAAGGCTCACTGTATTGGTTGCTTTCTTATTGTAATAAAACACCATGACGAAGGCAACTTCTAGAAAGAAGGGTTTATTTAGACTTAGGTTCCAGAGGGATAATGGTCCATGACCATCACTGTGGGCAATGGGATAATGGTCCATGACCATCTCTGTGGGCAATGGGATAATGGTCCATGACCATCACTGTGGACAATGGGATAATGGTCCATGACCATCACTGTGGACAATGGGATAATGGTCCATGACCATCACTGTGGGAAGCATAGCAGCAGGCAGGCTAAGTGACTGGAGCAGCAAATCTTCAACCCCAGTGAGATACCTCCTCCAGCAAGACCACACCTCTTAAACCTACCCAAACAGTGCCACCAACTGGGGACTAAGTATTCAACTATCTGAGCCCATGGGGGACATTTTCATTCAAACCATCATACCTAGGATTTTCAAAATAGTAAGCACTGATTTAATCATGAAATCACTGTGATGGTTAATCTTCAGTATCAGCTGCATTGGCATTGGAATCAACTAAGAGACAGGCTTGAGTAAGTCTATAAGGGTATTTCCTGGAAAGATTAACTGGGGGTGGGGGTGCTGGCTAATTTTATGTCGACTTGACACAAGCCAAAATCACCTGAGAGAAGGGAACATCAACTGAGAAAATACCTCCATAAAAATCCAGCTGTAGGCAAGCCTGTAGGTCATTTTCTTAATTCATGATTGATGGAAAGAGGTCCAGCCCACTGTGGGTAGTGCTACCCATGGCTGGCAGTCTCAGGTGCTATAAGAAAGTTGATTGATCAAGACTTGGAGAGAAAATAAGCAGCATTCCCCCATGGCCTTTGCATCAGCTCCTGCTTCCAGATGTCTGCCCTGACTGCTTTCTTGGTTCCTGGAGTTCCTGCCATGACTGCTTTCAATGAGGAGCTATTCTACTGAAGCCTGAGTAAAATAAACCCTTCCCTCTCCAACTTGTTTTTGGTCATCGTGTTCCAGCACATCGCTAGAACCTAAACTAAAATGGGGCTAAACCTTCCGCCAGAATGGTGACAAGATCGTGTACATGATAAGCTTGAAAATAAACAGGATATAAAATGCAGAAATGACTCCCAGTTTTCGGTGAGAAAAAGACAAGTATTGCAATAAAGGGAACAGTAAGACCTAGATAACATGTAAGATCATTCCCTTCTGATTACTCAGCAAGTGGGGGAAAGGAAGAAGGGACTTGCTTTAGGGTTTAAAAACTGTCCCCTTGTAGCCAGGCATGGTGGCTGGCTACATCAGTATGTCTATCATTCGAGGCTGATGCCTGGCTTTGCAAGGTGGCAAAATAATCTGCCTCACTTTCACTGCTGTGAGTCTCCAGTGCTCTTATTATGAATTGAGGATCTTTGTTTCTGGAAGTTTCCCAAGGATTTCCCCAAAGACGTATTTTATGTAAATTTGATGTTTGGTCC